CACTGGTCTGGTGCAACTTCAGTTCCGTGCTGATTTCTTTTTTAAGGCCATTGAGAAACACTCCTTTTAACATCCCGTGGTCAGCAAGTTTGAGAGGAGCTACAACCATTTCAAAGTGATCCCGGTACTCCATGACTGAATTAGTTTGCTTAATTTTGAGCATAGGACCAAATGGGTTCTGAACTAAATCCGGCTGGAAGCATCTGATCAAAGCTTCCTTAAAATTTCCCAGGAGTGGTCATCGGTCTGTTCATCCCACCATTGGTACCAGTTCAGAGCCTTTTCGGTCATGGCTATCAGGACAATTTCCACTTTGTCACCCTCCGATACATGATTTAATTTAAAATAGCACTCAACCCTGATAAGCCATCCATAAGCATCGTTCCTGCTAAACAGCGGTAAATCCACCTTTCTTCCAGTATAAACCCGATCGTTAATTCTCGTATGCTCAGGAGTACGAGAAACGGATTGAGAATCATAAGGGTTACCTCCTGAATTGGACGAACTCACGCTGGCAGAAGTGTGGCACCGACGAGGTGTGGCTGATCGTCCTCTTCTTCTCCGGTGACTGCCCTGGACTTCGAGACTTTGCATCTTTTCCAGCAACAACTGTATTTTCTCGTCCATCAAAGCTCTCATCTCTGTTCGGATCTCTTCCCTGGAAAGCTCCAATGATCGCTCCAAACTTTCAAGCCTCTGTTCTATGTTTGACAGAGTGAATACCATACACAGGTACAGTGAATCAGTGATCGATGCTCTGATACCAATGATAAGTAACCGCAGAATTCCCGTAGATAATTGAAATAGATTTATTAGAGTTTAATGAAGGAAACGTAAAACAAAGAAAGAAGAAACTTGAGACTCTTCGAGTGGCCTCTGACTCCCGATATCCCAGTCCCTATCCCAAGTTCTGCCTGCGTTATTCTTCCCCCCTACCCCCTTTTATAATAAAACTCTCTAAAAGGGCCGGCCCTTTCTTCAGTTATTGGGCCTAGAACCCTATTATTGAAAAACATAAAAATTACTTAATAAAACTCTAATTATTCGTAGTGTCCGGGTCCCTAACATTCAATTACTATAAAGCCTAACTGTGCAAACTTTGCAAGTTTTCATCCTTTTTTTTTACTTTTCTATTAATCTGCACTACTCCATATTGTATTATCCTAAATGTTAGGTCATCATCATAGTGCCGCAAAGGCTCCCACCTACGGTGGGGTAAGGGGGGGTCAGATGTACAAAGCCTTATGATAAGAACAGAAAAGTAAAATCAACGGGGTGAACCGTTGCCCAGATAATCAACGATAAATAAATATCGTTGCCCAAAGCCAAAAGGCTAAACCAAACTTTTATTCCCAGATTATCAAGAATGAAGCATACAAGGGGTATAAATAACCCTCTAGGTCTAATAAGAATAGGAATCCTAATTAAATTATTCTAGGAAACTAAATAGAATAGGAAACCTCTAGTTCTAATAGAACTCCTAATTAAATCATTCTAGGAAACTAAATAGAAATAGGAAACCTCTAATTCTAGTAAGAATAGAAGCCCTAAATAAATCCTACTAGGAAACAAATTAAATTAGGAAACAAAATAAAAGGAATAATAAATATTAATTAAACAGCCCGTAACCGGCCCACGGAAGTGGGCCCAAGTCCGGTCCCGCCACATGCTCTTCCCGCTTCATATCAATCCACCCCCCTTAAAATAACCTTGTCCTCAAGGTTGAAAACTCGCTGATTGGGAGCTGAAATTTCCAGACATAGTATAGACTGAAAAATATCCTTCTTCTCCTTCATGAACCCTTTCCTGGCCGGTTATTTCGCAGAATTCATGCTGCTTGAGGTCCAACTCTTCATCCTCCTCGGCTATCATTACCCGCAGCTGCTTAAAGGGACAATCATGCCCTGGCGTGAATGGTTTCTTGCATCTAAAGCATAATCCTTTTGCCCTCAAATCTGCTAACTCTTTTGGCGCAAGACGGGTGAACTGGGATCGTGTCGTAGGCTGCCCAGACAGCCCTGACTTTGTCCCCGGAGGCTGTCCACTATCCTTCGCAAAGCTGCCCCCTGAGCCCTGTAAGCTGCCACCGGTGGCAGTCAACGGGGGACCCGTGTTTGCCCTTACAAAACTGCTGGAACGTACCCCCGAAGAATGATAATTCAGGCTGCCACTTTCTCCACTTTGGACAGACAGATTATACTCCACTTCGCGAGCTAATTCCATAGCCATCTCCAGGTTGTTTGGTCGAAGTAATCGCAGCGAGCTTCGGATTATCTCCTTAAGCCCACTAATGTAATAGCCCAAGTAATGATCGTCAGTTAATCCGGGTACTTGACTGGCGAGTTGTACAAACAAAGTATTGTAATCTTCCACTTGCCCAATTTGTTTAACGCCAGCTAGCCGCTCAAATCTGTTTCCTTGATATCGGGAATCAAATCTAGCCACCAAGGCTTGCTTAAATTCCTCCCAGGATATGCCGGGTTTGCGCGCCTTTAACCATGTCACCCAATAGAGGGCTGCCCCTTCCATAGAAACCCTAGCCGCTGCAATTTGTCTATCCGGTGGGGTCCTGTTGAGCTCGAACTGCTGCTCCACTCTTGCCAGCCACCCAATTGGGTCTTCACCATCGAATGAGGGAAGCAGTGTCGTGGATGCGCTGCGCGGTCCGCCCTCGTCGGTGAAAGCAGTCGCGATGTGGGCGGAGGAGCCGCTCTCGATGGTCGTGCTTGGAGACTTCGCTGGCGGTACCATGGCCTTTGCGATTGCTGCCAGGGATTCTGCGATTTCCGCAAGCCGGGCGGCCTGCTCCTCCTGTTTCCGAGCCAGTACATCCAGTTTCTCTCCTTGTGAATCGAGCTTTTGATTTACCAGGGCCTGTTCAGCCTCCAATTCCGTCAGTCGTTCGTTCTGAGTTCTTGTCATCTTGGCGGGACGGGGATCCGGCAGGTCGGACCAATTGATAAGAACAGAAAAGTAAAATCAACGGGGTGAACCGTTGCCCAGATAATCAACGATAAATAAATATCGTTGCCCAAAGCCAAAAGGCTAAACCAAACTTTTATTCCCAGATGATCAAGAATGAAGCATACAAGGGGTATAAATAACCCTCTAGGTCTAATAAGAATAGGAATCCTAATTAAATTATTCTAGGAAACTAAATAGAATAGGAAACCTCTAGTTCTAATAGAACTCCTAATTAAATCATTCTAGGAAACTAAATAGAAATAGGAAACCTCTAATTCTAGTAAGAATAGAAGTCCTAAATAAATCCTACTAGGAAACAAATTAAATTAGGAAACAAAATAAAAGGAATAATAAATATTAATTAAACAGCCCGTAACCGGCCCACGGAAGTGGGCCCAAGTCCGGTCCCGCCACATGCTCTTCCCGCTTCATATCACCTTACCCCTGTACTAAAGCACAGCGAGACTGTTTCTGGGTGACCCAAAAAACAGTCTCTCAAAACACCTAAATGTTGGGTGTTTTTATTAAATTGACTTAATCCCGCCCAAGTCCAGCAAAAAGCCCCACTTAGATGCTATGACAGTATGACTAAGTTTGCCAAGAGCTGATGAGCTGGATCTTTTCAAAACACCAAATTTTTCATGCAGAAGAAATGGGGGAGGGAGCACTGAAGTTCCAAAACAACTGAAAACCAAAGGCTGTCATATACAGATATTAAGAACTTTGAAGTTCAGTTCAGCAAGTTCAAATCTAAAAATCCTAGTTTGTCAGAAAGCATGGAGATAAATACTTATTTACTCAAAAATATGAACCTTGACTTTTTCTGTGCAGTCATACAATAACTCAACTGTCTATAAACTATAATCCACTGAAATACATTACAAAGAGAAGAAATGAAAAGTATTAACATAAACTATTAGAAATTAAATAAGTAACATTAATAGATATAAAAAGTACTACTTCCGTCCCGGCTTAAGCTTCTTTTTGAAAAACGACAGTTATTTAGACAATAATTAAATATGTGTTATTTGGGTATATTTTGAGAAGTAATTTTGACAGGTTTATAATACAATGACGTTATTGATGATAAGTGTGATGTTATAGTTGTATTACTTTTAATGTTTGATGATTAAGTTGACATTTAAGAGTGCTAGTTATTTCCTTTTTAGGATGTCCCAAATCAAGTTCATACTTCTATTTTTGGTAAGTTTTGAATGGTAAATTACTCTTGTACCCCTGTTGAAAAGTACAGAAGTATATCATTATTTTTTTATAAAAATTATTTTGTAATACATATATATATATATATACATACATATATATAATAGAAATAAACGATATAATCTATAAAAAGAAAAGTTATTTTATACATTAGTTTTATCTTTGCCGTCTTTTTGTAGAATTTTAGATAAAAATAAACTCATTGATTGATGTAGAAAACTAGAAATTCATTTATATACTCCCTCCGTCCCTAAATGTTGTTCCATTTGCGGATTACGAAGGTTGACCGACGATAAAGTTAAATGATCCCTGTGAAAACTCGGATTATTTTCAGTAAATAAAATTTACATATTCAGAAACTACATTAAACCCGCTACAAAGACTGCAAAAAATAATTCAACTTTTATAAAATTTTGATATAAAAAATAAGAGTTTAAGAGTGATTTAAGTTGACCCTCGATAAGCGAAATGGAACTTCTTTTAGGGACAGAGGGAGTATGTTGATTTAAATGTTCTCTTTAGCATCCCCAGTTTCAAGATCATATTTAGCCAAAAGTGCAGGAAAAAGCATCATTTGGCAGAAAATCATTTCAATAATCAATATAATAGTACAAACATATTCAAAAGTAAAATAAATCAGATCAATATATGAATCTCGACCTCCAAACTCATTACAACAGGGGGCGATCTTGGAACGATTCGAATTAGCGGCAAAGTAGCAAATATGTTAGGAAGATTTGAATGAGAAAAAGATTGTACCTTTGAATTCCGGTAGAAATTTGAAGCTTCAGATCGGCAAAAGGGTACGGGAAACCCACAATAGACACTGCGAGTCCAACACCGGTCGTTTATGGATAGCTTCTCACGAAGGTAAATGAATCACAGAAGTGACGGCAGAATCAATTTGGTAAAGGCAACCTGTTATTCTTTTGTGAGGAAATTAGGCCTGTTTAGTATATTTGGAAAATTGGGGGAAAAAAACGTGTTTACATACTATGTTGTAAAAACCGGACCGGAGAGCGACCCGGACGAATGGTCGGGTCATGGGTCAACCCGGACCCGGCGGGTCAACCCGGTCAACAACCGGTAAACCCGGTCAACGCCAATATATATATATATATATATATATATATATATATAGGATCACATAGAAATTAATCCTAATTTACAAAATACAAACTAGCCCTAGCCATTGATTTTAATTGTGTAATGGTGAAGATAATGCTAATTACAAAATAATACATGAAGATAATATATATCTTTATAATTACAAAATAATACATGAACATAATGCTAATTACAAAATAATAACAAAAATTGGAAGATCATATACTAAGTACGTGATTGGGAAGTATAATAATAACATTGATATGTAACTATTTTTATTACTATTATTATTATTATTATTATTATTATAGATTAAATATGTAATTAGTTATACATTTCAGGTTAACACAGTATAAAAACAAAAAAGCAACAATGACTACTAACTAAACAGCGTTGCACGATGGTCAGTCACCTGCAATGTGTCCTAGCAGGCGTGGGTTCGAATCCCACTGTCTACTTTCTTAAAGTTTTGCTCAAATCCGGGTTTCGGACGGTTTGATGGTCAACCGAACCGGTGTGATGGGCGGGTGGGCGGGTTCCGGGCCGAACCGGGCGGTCCGGGTCGGTTCTTACAACACATGTTTACAAGCAAAATTTGTTGGAAAATTGGAGAAAGAAATATGGAAAATTGGATTTATCAAATAGTTTTCCAAAATTAAAAAAATGAGATATGTCTCTTTTTTCCTTTATAAATTGGAGAAGTGACTTTTAGGCTTTTACTAGTTTTCCAAATTTGGAAGACGTGAATGATGCAGTGTCGTTGCAATGAATTTGCTTACTTACGCCTATAGTTGGATCCGGCCTGATAGGGCCCTGGGCTTTAGAGAATAATAATAGTAGTTATAGTTTGATATTAAATAAGTGTGGTATTGTTTAAATAAGAATCATGGGCCATGTCTTAAAATGTGGGTTGGCCTGTTAGGAAATCTAAAAACTTATAAACATCAATGATGGTTAGACCATTTTAGCGATGAAAACAATGTTGGTGTAATTATCTAGCTTAGTGAGGTGGTACATTGTGTTAGACAATATGTACTCAATAAAAAGAAGTTATTTTTCCGTTTAATTTCCGTCTGATCGCTTCCGTCTACTTTTTGACATCGTCAAATTCAATAGACCGCTCGCCTTCTTTCCGTCTGATCGCTTCCCTCTGCTTTTGTTTTCGTCAAATTGAATAGACCGCCTGTCGTCTTCGCTGGCTCCTAACTATCACGCAGGCGGTCCATCTGCGCCTTAACCCTCATCCAGATGTGCTCCCATCGTTTCCGTCTTGTTGGCCAGCCATTCAGGTATATTTCCATTCTGTTTCTCAATTTCTTGCTAGACTATGTTAATCCCCTTTGTTGCCTAGGTGTTGGTGTAATGAATTATACTACGTATGATTTAGTGTAAAAGACCAAAATTGAATAATACGTATAGTGTGATCAAGTGTGGGAATTGAGTCCAAACATGAAACAAAGTTAATAAATAGCAGGTTTAACTATTTAAGTAAGTTGCACTCCTAAGATTTATTTACAAAATTGTTAGAAGAAGTACCATTTAATCTCGCTTCTTGCTTGCCTTTGTAGAAATTCTACTTAATTAAAGTTTACTGTAGTCTGGGAAAAAGAATGTCTGTCAATGGCAATTCTATACAAGTATTTATAATAAGAACCCATATTTAAGGGTGATTTTGGATTAAACAATCTATGATTTTAATTAACAAACTGATAGTATGACTCAATTTGCTGGAATGTTGTCTTAATTAAATGAAGTTGTTATGTGATTGTAAAATTGTATGTTGTTGAGGTCATTGAATCTGATTCTAAAAATCCATTTTAGTACTTCCATGTGAGTAATTTGAAGCAAAATTGGAGTTTAAGGTTATTGGCAGGTACTCTGCAAACCCTTCTCTGAATTCAGACAGCTTAGAAGTTACACAGATGAATGACATTATTTGGGTTGTGTATTTTTTTATGAACATTGTGATTGGAGACCAAGGCAAGTAGTTGTAATTGAAAAACATACTTTTGTATGGAACACTATGATTGCCAAAACATGGAGTAATTTTTCTTCTAATTGCGCATTTGCGCGATGGGATAGTGCCCAATGCTTTTTGAATAGATCATATACCTTGGAAATCTTCTCCTAAAGGGACTATCTGCTCCAGAAATCTTCTAAAGGAACTATTACTTTCAGCATCAACAAGTTGAGTCTCTAAAGGGACTATTACTTTCAGCATCACCAAATTGGTAAACTATCTTCTTCCAAACTATCTTCTAACTAATCATAGTAATCTATAGATAAGAACAACTAACCGATTATCAATGCCAATTGGTTACTAAGAGCTTTGGTTCTGCCCTATATATGAACCTAAATAATAGTCTTCTACCAATATTAAGAATTGTCATCTATTATAATAAGTTTTAATTTGATATGAGAAGCAGAGTGAAAGTAGAGATGTGAGTTTGTATATTGTATTTAATTTGTCTGGTTGGGAATACCGGAGTAGCTTATTAGCAATACCATTGATATACCTTAGATATAGCAATTTAGAAGTTATGAGGCTGGAGAAGATCGAAGCTTCTCAGGCTAGGTAATACAGAAGAATGATTTTGCATCTGATTATGATTTTGATGTCCATTATCATTTTGCTACCGGTGCTTAGATTTGCATAAAAATATATTGCTCTTATGCAAAGCCATTAAGGAAAACAATGCAAACGAAGGTTTAAGCATCCCGCCTCAAGCTAGCCTTACTAACGTTGAATGGATTTCAAATGAAACTCTTTTAACCTTGTGAATATTATTAGTCTGCAATTTTTGTGTTCCTGGGCAAAATAAAAGATTATCTAACACCAGTTATTCTTTTTTTTTTCTAATTTTTTAATGCTTAATGATTTTTCTTTCCAAATTTATATAGATTTTAAAAATGTTTAATATATTGGGGAGGTTATTTTGAGGTGTGTTTTAGGTTGGATTTTTCATGATTATATCACTCATCTACGAGTGCTACTGATTGTAAAGCTCTCTCGTAACCATCAGATCACCTCCCTTCTGATATGCTTGGCTCATATTTTTTCTTCACAGGGTCATTGATGAATGAGGCTGCAGAGGTTCATGGGGGTTTCTAAGGGCGTTATTTATATCAATATTTATAAAACAAACAACTCTATAAGTTTATAATACTTTGTTTGTTTTATAATCACCATCACTATGTATCTATGTATCTTTTTCTCTTACTGTTCTATTTCATCTTTTGTTTACACATATTTACTATTCCCCCCCGAGAATTTGTATGATTTACTAAACTACCTTTCAGGTTAATGCAATCATTTCTCTCGATTCGGGGATAAACCAATACAGAGGACCCTTTAATACTTATTGGGTGGTTGGTGAGTTGATATCTTTCATGTTTTTTTTTAAATATATTTAGAGTTTTTAATATAAATTATTACTGAAATCTATGCCTATGCATATACTGATCATATTCTGAACACATCGATGTCTTACTTTAATTACACACTTGAACTACAACGGATGGAGACCTGATTACAATATTCAGGATATTCAATACTTCGGTATGAGCTCACACAAGAGAAAAGTTGCATCTCTTCTTTCAATTGGTGTCATTGTTCTCTATGAAAGGTGACCAAAATAACTCTATTCTTCCACTCCCAGCCATATATTTTGGAACAACCAAATTAGACCCACCTTTTCTCATATATAATTATCAATCTTCTCTATGTATGTTTGTTATATTTATTCATAACTATTTGTATGTCTATTTTTTTGAAAAATCAGAAAGTAGTATATTTATTAAAGTAAACAGCCCATTTGAATTTTAGAACTGTTGGAATTAAGTTCTTGATTAACTTCTAAATACTTATGTATTTCTACTAAGTTGTTAGTTTCGGAATAACTATTGGTTGATAAAGGTTGAAAGTAAAGGTTTTGTGCAAGAAAAATGACTTCTTGTACTGCATATTGTACTCTAGATGACCAAAATATGCCCATAAATTAAATACAAACAAATGTAATTATCTCATTTAGTGTGAATGTTTACATGTCAGTCTTAATCATTTTTATTACAATCAATTGATAGGTTGAAAGTGAGGGTGCATAATTTGAACTTGTAATGGCTCACTGCTCAGACATTTCTATCACTATGATGTTTGGATGAAAAAAAGAAAGTGAACACACCTAAATCCTTTTTTGTCCATTATATCTTTTTAGTTGTTTTAGTTTCATTCATCATTGCATTTCTTTATTCCTTTGGTTATACTTTTGTGCATGTATACAATTATAAGCACAAATGTCTTAATTTTAAAATGAATTTGATGTTGGAGATAGTGTTCATACATCCTCCCACAGGAAATGGCAGCCCCCATCTAGGTGTGGCTGTGTTGCATGTGTGGTGGTAATTGAAGCTGATGATAGTGACAATGTGAAACTGTGGGTCAGGTGGTATAACAGCCCCTCAGGGGCCATGGGAAGCGCAGATGCAGTTTTATGGGACAAGATAGTTTTTTCCTCTGAGATCTTTAAATCATCAATGAAAGTGAAGGGAACTGTTAAATGTGGGTGCGGAGGATATTTGCTATTGGTCTGTGTATAAAGCTACAACCGGCTCATTCTACTCGACTCGATCATGGTGTATAATAAATACAATGCGGGGACTGGTACAGAACTTATGAATACTTTTGCTACCTTATTATTATGTGCCTATTTGGTTGACATATAGTTTAATCAGATGATTCTCGCTTTTTGAAACACAAATGCATTTTGCTGACATCCTTTTCAAACATTCTCTTGTTGTCAATATCTTGAGGATACTTCTGCTTTATGTTGCTGTCAATACTTCATAGTTTCACATTCTTTTGAATTGCAATGTTTTGGGGATTTAAACGCTACATATTTTTCACCATGCTAATGATGTGGCCATACATATTCTTATAAAAACTAAACTATTAATTGATATAATTATAAGTTAATTATTTACAAACAAATTTATTAATTGATATTAAAGTTGCTATTGCAAATTTTTACAAACGACTCAACAGAAAGACTCCAGTCTTAAAAGCTACCTCTAGACCACTATGTTGTCATTTTGCTTGGTATTATGGTTTGAAGTAACATACTTGCGTCTTGTAAATGATTAGGTTACATGGGACACTTCTTTTCATATCATATCATACTATATGGAGTTTTTTCCCAAACTAAGGTAGTCTTGAATCTTATTTCCCAATTAGGGGTAGTTTTAAACTTATTTCTCAAGAGAGGGTATTTTCATCCTTGTCATACAATCTTGCCACATCACCTAACTCCACATCATTCACCCGTCATCACCCATTCCATGTTGCCATTCACAGCATATTTCCGTATTCTTTGAAAATAAAATAAAAAATTCTAACATTACTGGGAATCGAGCACCCACCTTCCGTAATGCCCCTACAATATTGAAACGGTGAAACCCCTGGACTGTATTAGACAATTGAAAGGTTAACTCCTTTATTATTATTTGTCATCGACATATGTTGAAGTACAGGACCACGTTCACTACAATCCTCAAAAATAGCAAATTGTTGTTTTTTATAATATTTGAATTTGAATAACATATACTACGAAATATTACTTTTTTGTGCAAGAAGTATTACTTCTTGCACAAAAATAAAAATATAATAAAATGCTAAATTCGAAATATTCAATTGAGAAATAAACAACTGATAAAAAATTTAAAAGAAAACCTTAATATGTGATATGCAATTAAAAAATAACTTCAAATTACTCAGAACTAAAAAACAAAAAAAAATAAGTAAATTTTATTCTAATCCCCGACCCACCTGAAATTTTTTCAAAATTATTAATGTATTTTATCGTAGAAGTTTTATACAAAAGATTCCTTATAAGTGACTTAACTCAGCTCAATTCGGTCTTAGTTTGAATTTTTTGTAAGAAAAATATTTTATAATGGCTCAATTTGGTTCATCTCAGTCCCGATTTTATTGATTGAATTGAAACAAAATGCTCGAATTTGCGTTAAATCCCAAAGTGCAAACCTTTACCTACCTGTGTATTAGTCGTTCATTAAGAGATATACAACGTCTTTCTGAAATAATTAAACAAAAAAATTAAATTATTAATTTAAGATACTCAACTAAAAATAATAAATAAATTAAAAGTTATAATAACTAAATGACATGAAAAGCTCCAGTCCTCCCCAATAAAAAATGGGATATAGTTAATGTGAAAATAATTGTGTGAAAATTTATATAAGAAAAATTCTTTATTTTTTTAAAGGGAAAATATCTTTGTTTAATTAACTTTAATTAATATAAGAAGAAATTATTGGTACCGAGAACAATCAAGCTAGCTGATGCCTATACTTAAAAACATGTTATTCAAATATGTAAAAACGAGAATCGATACCAATTGAAGGCTTTAGTGTGATGTTTTGCTTGGAACGAATAAGGAACATTTTAATTTGTTGGACGTGGGTTCAATCCTTCCAAGCGGCCACTTTCTTTTTTATTAAAGAACACATTTATCCCCCCTTAAATTAGATGACATGAAATTGCTATGATATGGTGATGTGGAATTGGTGGAATGATGACATAACGAAAAGTATCCTCATTTGGGAAGTAAGTTTAAAACTACCCCTATTTGGGAAATAAGTTTGAAAAGTACCCTTATTCCGGAAAAGCCCATACTATATGATATGAAAATATATAACTGATGCTTAATGATGCAAACTACCTTGGGCATTATCCTAATCGCGCATCGCGCGTCATAAAAACTAGTATAATAACTACAAGAATGGGAAGGGGAGAAGAGGGTCGTTAGACAAATTTTAGAACTGGAAAATTGTGTTCTAGGAGAGTCGAGGCCTCTCGAAGTAAGTGCCCGTGTCTTGTATCTTCTTCTTCTTTTCTGCGTTTCAGCAATAATATTGATCGATCTACTGTTAGAAACCTGAATACCTATCACGGTCCCGCTCCAGTGTCAACTCCAGTCCAGTCCGGTCAACGACCCGACGATCCCTATCTATTCCGGTCAACGACCTAACGATCTGGTTGAGTCATCGATTCGGCGGTCCATGTCCAGTCCGATCGACGATCGAGCAATCTCAGTCCAGCCTGGTCGACGACCCGACGATCCCGGTTCAGTCGATGACCTGGTCGTATATGTCTGGTCCAGTCCACGACCCGACAGCCCTTATCCAGTCTGGTCCACGATCTGGCGGCACATGTCTAGTCTGGTTCATGACCCGACATTCCATGTCTGGTCCGGCCGATGACCCGATTATCCCTGTGCGTTCTGATACACGACCAAGGAGTACTTGTTTGGTCTGATTGATGGTCGGGCAGTCCCAGTTCGATACGGTGTAGTTAACGACCTCGTGGTCCCCGTCCGGTCCGGTCAATGAACCAGTGGTCCCCTTCCTGTCAGGTTAACCACATGGCGGTCCTCGTCCTATCCGATCAACGACCCGACGGTCCTCATCCTGTCTGGCAAATGACTCGACGGTCTGTGTTCGGTCCGATTAACAATGGGGCGATCCTGGGGTGGTCCATAAATGATCCGGCAATCCCTGTTCGGGCCGGTCGATGACCCGGTGGTTCAATCTCATTTTTTCGAAATCATTTTTTAAAGTGAATAGTTTTAAAAGAACCCTTGAGTTGTCAATCAATAGGGAGATGGGAAAAGAATTCATCAAACTAACTGTTGTGATTGACCAGGACCGACCAGTTTCGGACCCAACTTTCGTATACGTTGGACCCAGTACCCTACTTGGGATGTACTATCTTCGGTTCCAGACTGGGACCGTACTTTCGGTCTTTTGATCGGTCACAGAACCGGGTGAAAATTTTGTATAAACATGTTTTCAAAGATTCATTATTTTTTGCTTGAAAATATGATGGAATAAAGCAAAATGGCTCACTAAACTGTATGCGCTTCCTTGTTATGAAGCAGCAGTCAATCCATGCAATTTTGGACGCGATTTTCACTATGGGTCATCCGGAAACAGTCTCTCTGTGCTTTAGTACAGGGGTAAGACTGTGTACATCTGACCCCCCCCCCCCTACCCCCACCATAGGTGGGAGCCTTTGCGGTACTGGGGTAAATGAAAATGATGAAAATGATGATGTTTTCAAATTTGAAAATTTAAAAAAAAAACTAAAAAATGAAAACAATTTGTTAGTAAACAAGCCCTTATATTTTGCATCTGGTTGCTTTGCCCACTCCATTATTACTTTTAGTAACCTTTCCAATTTTATGTTATTAAAATTGTTGTCCCTCCAAAAAAAATTATTATTCTGTCAAAAAAATATTGTTATTGTTTTAATTTAGACGTAGGACATAATGAATCAACCCTTCCTTTGGATCTCGAGTGGACTATTTAATGGATTATGAGAGGTGAATAAACGCAAGCAATGATGGACAAACAATAAATTGCTGGCTGGGAGTAATAATTGGGCACTCTTACAGCGCCCAATTATTACAGCGCACTCTGCTACAAGCCACTCTGGGCCGATCGTCTAAACTAGCTGGGAGAAGAGGAGACTAATTGCTATTGCTAGAGAGTATTAACTGTCAACCCTTTACAATGAAATAAATGTTACTATTTATAATATCAAGGTGTATGTAATACTGATGATGTGGAGGACGATGAGTGGTGATAAGTCCGTATTTAGACACGCATTTGATGCGTGTTGGGATTGGATTTTGATGGTTTTCCTAGCTTTAAGGTGTTACAAGTCTCAATTTTAGCTCAAGTTATGTTTAACAGGCGTTGGTTCGAGTTTTGTGTCATTTGGAGTCAAAATCAGGATTTTAGAGTTCGGCACTGGCGCTTGAGGAGAAATCAGGGATGAGTTGAGAAGCATTTGAGATTGATTTGAGAGCTATCAAGGTCACCGGGAGGTTCACGATGAAGATTTGAAGGAAAAAGAGCTCTAGGATTGGCTTCAGGATCAAAAGAAGATGAATGAAGCTTGAAAACGACGATCAGAATGACCTTCTGTCAGTCGTTCAATCATATCTCTTTGTAGGAAAAACCAATGGACACTATTCAAGTTTTATATGAAATCCGACTTCAAGGGATACAAATCATATGAAGACACCATTACGAGAATATGAGAGCAAGAAGGTGAAAACAGACGATGAAGTCAGATGATCTCTGTTGCGATTTCAGAATGACACCTTCCACCGTTTTGATCATATCTCTTGATTGGATGATTCAAATTACATTCGGCAAATTGGGGTGGATAGAGGACTTCATTATCTACAACTTTCATGAAGGAAGTTTTGTCAAATTCGGAAGTTTGACGCACGCCGTGCGTAGGGGAACGCACGATCGTGCGTCCGAGGCAAAAACGGAAGAAAGCCACTGCCACGTACGCACGATCGTGCGTGGCAAGGTACGCACGATCGTGCGTACCCCGGAAACGCGGATTTCAGCCCTTTTTAGTCCCAGTTCAGCCCAAACTCATCTGTTTTCTATAAATAAGACCCCCATACCCATATTTTGAGGTTACGAACATTACGGAGAGGCCTGGGGACGAATTTAACACCGTTTTTACGCTATTTTCTTCCAAGACCCTGGGATTATTTGTAAGTTCATCTTTTTAATTAATGACAATTATTTCTATTCATCCCAATTCTGTTGATTCTTCAATTATGACTTGTGAGTAGTTTAATTAGGGATTTGGGATTGATGAAGGGGTTAATCATGATTAATGGCTAGATTCTTGTTGGTTTAATTGCATGAATGCCGTTTAATTTGTGTTTGAAGAAT